GGGGGAGACGGTAAGAGGAGGTTCCGGGGCGAGAGGGAAGGGAAATGGGAGAAGCTGAGTCGAGAGGAGATGTGTGAAAGGAAGAAGAAAAGGAGAAGTGGGAAGAGTAGGGGTGAAGGGGGAGAGAAGTGAAGCAAGAGAGAGGTAAGGGTGTGTGGAAGGGGAGAGAAGAAGCGAAGCAAGAGGGGTAAAAGTGAGGGGAGAGAGAGGAGGAAGTGAGGTGTAAGAGTGAGGGGAAAGAAAAAGAGTAGCGAAAAGGGGAAGAGGTGAGGGGAGGGAAGCGAGAGGAGGAGCCGAGGTGATCCTTCATCTGTGAGAACCCCTCGGGCTCCTCATCGACCTGACTGCTCCCTGTCCTCTCCCCACCAGGATACGTGTCGCACCGGGGGGGGGGTTGTATACTTCTAGGGGAGGGGAGGGTTTGATATATTCTAGGGGAGGGGAGGGGGCGGATATACATCTTGGGGAGAGGAGGGTGGCGATTATACTTCTTAGGGAGGGGAGAAGGTGGATATATTCTAGGGGAGGGGGGGCGGATATACTTCTTAGGGAGGGAGGAAGGTGGATATTTCTAGGGAGGGGAGGGGCGGAGACACTTCTTATGGAGAGGAGGGAGGGAGATATACTTCTGGGGTAAAGGCAGGGGGTTTGTATACTTCTAGGGGATGGGAGGGGCGGGTATACTACCTAGGAAGGGAAGGGACTGATATACAAGTAAGGGGAGGGGGTAGATGAACTACGGAGGGTTTATGTAAGCGTGGGGCTGGGGTGATGGAGGGGGGAGGGGATGATTATAGACTGGTTACAAGATTTCACGAATAACGAAGCTCAAGAAGGTGAAAAAATATGGAAAAGAATGAAACAAGTGGGAGAGACTGCAAGATAGTTGGGGAAGCAAGGAGAGTTAGACAGACAAAGAGAGAGAGAAGAGAGGAGAGAGAGGAGAGAGAGGAGAGAGAGGAGAGAGAGGAGAGAGAGAGAGAGAGAGAGAGAGAAGAGAGAGAGAGAGAGAGAGAGAGAGAGGAGAGAGAGAGAGAGAGAGAGAAGAGAGAGAGGAGAGAGAGAGAGAGAGAGAGAGGAGAGAGAGAGAGGGAGAGAGAGAGGGAGAGAGAAGAGGGAGAGGGAGGAGGAGAGGGGAAGAGGGAGGGAAGAGAGAGAGGGAAAGAGAGGAGAGGAAAGAGAGGGAGGGAGGAGGATGAGAGGGAGAGAGGGAGAGAGAGAGAGAGAGAGAGAGAGAGAGAGAGAGAGAGAAGAGAGAGAGAGAGAGCAGAGAGAGAGAGAGAGAGAGAGAGAGAGAGAGGAGAGAGAGGAGAGAGAGAGAGAGAGAGAGAGAAGAGAGAGAGAGAGAGAGAGAGACAGAGAGAGAGAGAGAGAGAGAGAGAGAAGAGAGAGATTTGTGTCCGAGGGCATGTACGAGGCGGATCAGTCTTCTCAGGTGAATGGCGAAGCGAACAGCTGTCGACAGACCCCTTCTAATGCCCTTTTCTGGGCTTGCTCTCAATCCCCTTGGGGGATTTTTGCTCAAGGTCTCAGGTATATACTGTATAGCTGCTTTTATACACATACCTATCCACCTACACATCCATATATGCACGCAAACACACAGTAAAATATGTATGTACGTATGTATAAACATACATAAATACATGCAAAACACACACACGCACACAAATATATATATATATATATATATATATATATATATATATATATATATATATATATATATATATATATATAATATATGAGTGCGTGTGTATAGAGCTGACAGCAAAAAATTTCGCTCCTCTCCTCCTTCCTTCCTTAGCAAGGACTACACCTTTGCCATAATCACTCAACCACAGGAGTATCTCATATCGCCATTCCTTCCCATCCACCGCCTTCCTCCCTTTATCCACCGCAACGAAACAGCAACAAACATCGCGGGCGGGACGGGGGCAACGCACGCACGCACGCACGCACGATCGCCCGGGCCCTTTGAGTCGAGGGGAGAGACACAACTCCGAAGATCATGAAAGTCCAATTGTTCAAATACGACAGTTAATTAGCGCAAAGTTGGCGCTCCGAACGAAGAGTCAACACGCGCCGGCAGAGACTGGAGGCTTTCCGGGGGAAGTGGGCGAGAGTTCTAGAAGCTTTGCCTCCGCCGACGCTCCTCGAATAATAATGGATTCATCTCCGGGAGGTGGAGCGGGGAGGAGGAGGCGAGGGCGAGGAGGTGAGGAGGAGCGAGGAGGTGGAGGCGAGGGCGGAGGAGGTGGAGGTCGGGAGGAAAATGGGTGGCTGGGCTGGGAGGAGGAGAGGTGAGGGAGGAAAAAGGTGGGTGGGTGGTGGAGGAGGAGGAGGTGAGAGGAAAAAGGTGGTATGGTGGAAGGAAGAAGAGAGGAAGGAGGAGGAAAGGAGAAGGAGGAGGTGGAGGGGAAGGAGAAAGAGGAGGTGGAGGATATGGAAAGGGGTGGAAGAGAGTGGAGATGAATACTGGTGGAGGTGGTTGCGGGACTAAAGGTAGAGGTGGAAGGGGTGGTGGAGTAGGGGGAGGAGGAGGAAGACGTGGCGAAGGAGAGGAAGAGGAGAAGGAAAAGGAGAAGGAGGAGGATGAAATGGCGAGGGAGAGGAATAGGAGGAGTGGCGAAGGGGAGGAAGAGGAGAGGAGGAGTGGGGAGGAAGAGGTGTAGGAGGAGGAGGAAGTGGCGAATGAGAGGAAGAGGAGGAGAAGAAGGGTGGAGCTGGAAAAGGAGGAAGAGGGGGAGAAGGAAGAAGAGGAAGATGGGTAGAGCTGGTGGAGGAGGGAGGAGGGCGAGGAGGAGGAAGAAGAGGAGGTAAAGCAGGATATGGAGGAGAAAGTGGTCGAGAAGGGAGAAGGAAAAAACGGAAAAGAAAAAAACGTGAAGAAAACCAAAGAGAAAGAAAACGAAGTCTCAGATACCTAAAGAAAGAAAGAAAGAATAGAAAAAAAAAACATGGAACATACGAAATGCATCAGCGAGTAAAGGAAATAAAGACAAGAAAACTGAAATCAAGACAGAGCGAAACGATAACTAAAAAAAAGAGAAGAAAGCAGATAATAGCAAGAGAGGGAATAAAACAGGAGGGATACGTAGATGCAATTAATACTAAATGATGATAGCGGAGGAGGAGGAGAATGCTGATACGGCTTGCGTAATCCCAACGGAATCCCCGGAAATAACCTCTGTGTACGAGAGAATAGGATAACAAGATAAGAAAACTGGAGAACAAAGAACGAGAACTTAGTTACATTACCAAACATCTTTGTGCGTTACTATTTCCCTTGATGAAGTTATTGTCTTTTTTTGGGGGGTGGGGGTGGGGCGGTATGATAATTGAGGAAATCGATAAACACTCGCGCGCCCACGTACAGAACAGAGAGACAAAGATACAGGCATATGCACATTCACATACAAGCCAATATTCCCACATACCTCCCTTACCCCCGGCAGAAGAAAAGGAGAGAGAGAGAGAGAGAGAGAGAAGAGAGAGAGAGAGAGAGAGAGAGAGAGAGAGAGAGAGGAGAGAGAGAGAGAGAGAGAGAGAGAGAGAGAGAGAGAGAGAGAGAGAGAGAAAGCTCAAATCGAACCAAACCGCCCCACATATTTAGTCCTATCGTCCCTTTCCACATCTTCCCTCGCCCCTTTCTCCAATAACCCCTGCTCAAGCGCCTCCCCCCTTTCCTCTAACTCTCACACCCATACCCCATCACCCCCCCCCCATCCTTCCTCCCTATTTCTCCTCCCCATGCCCTTCCCCAATCACCCTCTTCGAACACCCTCCCCCATACTATCCTCCCCATGCCCCTTCACCCATCACCCCTTCCCAGGCTCCCCCTTCACCCATCACCTCCTCCCCACACCTTTTCGCCATCATCCCCTCCCTACGCTCTTCCACCCCTCCCCCTTCCCCATGTCCTTCGCCTACGACCTCCTCCCCACACCTTTCCACCATCATCCCCTCCCCACTCCCTTCCCCCATCACCCCCTCCCCACGCCCTCCCCCTTCCCTTCCCTCCCTCTATACATTTGCATGGAGGCGCTCTAGGCAGGCCCTCCAGCACTGTCTCCTCATGAATTATTCAGGCTCCTCTTGCAAGAACAAATGCCTCTCAAACTGCATCAAGACGGGAACTTATTGCAAGAGAGTTTTGTAGGAGGTGACGGGTGCAGTGGAAAGGACGGGGGGGGGGGGGGGAGAAAGTTGATAGGAAGGGAGAGAGGTGGAAAGGTGGAGGAAAGTGAAGGGCGAAAGGTTGGGGGAAGGGGAGGGAAAAGGTGGAGGCAGGGAGTGAGATAGGTGGGGCAGGAGGTGAAAGGTTGGCGAAAAAGGGGAAGGAAATGTGGGGAATGGGAAAGTAGAGAAGGTGGGAAGGGGGAGGTGAGATAGGTGGGGGAGGGAGGGTGAAAGAAGGGGAGGGAGAAAGGGGGAGGCAGGGGAGGTGAGACAGTGAGGGAAGGGGAGGGGAAAAGGTGGGATATGGGAAAGAAAGGGAGAGAGGTAGGGGAAGAGGAGAGAGGGGTGGAGAAAGAGGGGGCGGGGGCATTGGCGTGATGTGTTCGTATCTATTTTGTTGTGTATGAGGAATGTAATGGATAATTATGACTATATAAGTGGATAATGGAAACGGAAAGGGAACTTA